GCTAGAACAAATATTCCGAAAGTTTATATGGAACCACAAAGGCTTTGACTAGCTACAGCGATCTTGTAAAAGAAGAACAAAGTTAGAGAACCCCGTCCCACAGGAATTACCCAAAGCATCTTCGGTATAGGGTTTTGCTCCAAAGTAGAACGGTCCTACGTTCTGGCTCTCCTGCCAGCAAGAAACAGGGTCAGACCCAAGGACCTGCCCAGGGTTAGTCTTAGAACCAGAAAGCCTTAGGGAAGCCCAGGCAGTAAGGATGGGACGAAGCAACTGCCCGAGTCCCCTGACCCAGGCAGAGTTGAGACAGTCTCAGGACAGAGTCCCGACTCCTTGGAGGGCACGCAAGGGCTGAGGGTGGAGGAGGTGGGCCAACCCCACAGAAACTTGAGTACCCGCACTGGGGCCCAGCCAGGATCACCGCCAGCCCATTCACTTACCATGCCTGGCATCTGCTCTCTCGCTGTGACGAAGGGAGGGGAGGAAGGGATGGGGAGAGGCAGGAGAAAGACACGGTTCAGCCTGCGCCGCCCTCCACGCGTGCCGAGGCCGCCCACTTCCCAACCTAGGGGAGACTCACGCCTGTGTCTCGATGGGTCCACCTTATCATGGGTCCCGGCAAACATCTGCCAGAGTTGCTGGGTCAGAACATCCTGCCAAAACTGGGGCTCAGAGTCCCCAGCCGGCCGTGTGTCCAGCTGGTGAGCCGGGGAGTCGTCCACTCCAGAGGACTGCTGGTGCCAGTCAGATGACCTTGTGGCCATGACGTCTTTGAAGTCTGGCCCCTGAAGACCGGAGGGCTGTGGGGGCTTGACCCTTGGGTGCTGGGAAACCTTGGTACTGGCGGGTCCCCAGGCGTCCTGGTCAGCCTGCTCACCAAAGGAGACCTGGCTTACCTGGTCCTGCCGGCACCGGGTTGTGAGGGACAGGAGGATGTGCCCACGCCCGTGCCCTCCCTCCTGGAGGACCCAGAAACCTACCTCCCCTGGCTGGAAGCCCAGGGATTGGTTGCACGTCTCTATGAACTGTCGAAAATGTTCTGCCTAGAGGAGGGGAACATGATTCCAGCTAAAGCTTTGTAATTGGACAGCCCTGGGTGCGAACCCCCGCTTGCAAGCCAGTTTCCCTGTGTGTGAAATGGGGACACACCACCAACCTGGAACGTTTTGGGGCGATTACCGATGACACAGAGCCCTCTGCACTACATAGCATAAAGCAAGTTCGTGGTACCAGAAGCCAGCCTCGCAGTGGCCGATAAAATCTACCCTGAGGACAGGCTGCTATAGGATGGTGGAAAGCGGAGTCAGACCTGGGTGCACATCCTGTTTTCTTGGGATGTTTGAAAAGTAAAACCTGAGCCATCTATTCTGTCTCAGTAGTTGAGCGTCGGCCTATGAAACCAGGAGGTCATAGTTCGATTGCCAGTCAGGGCACATTCCTGGGTTGTGGGCTCCATGCCCAGTGTGGGGTGTGCAGGAGGCAGCCAATCAATGATTCCTTCTCATCACTGATATGTCTATCTCTCTCTCCCTCTACCTTCCTCTCTAAAATCATTAAAATATATATATATATTTTAGATAATTCTAGCTGGTTTGGCTCAGTGGATAGAGCGTTGGCCTGTGGACTGAAGGGTCCAGGTTCGATTCCGGTCAAGGGCACATACCTCAGTTGCAGCCTTCTCCCGGCCCAGGCCCTGGTTAGGGTGTGTGCAGGAGGCAACCAACTGATGTGTGTCTCTCACATCGATGTTTCTCTGTCTTTCCCTCTCTCTTCCATTTTCTCTAAAAATCAATGGGAAAATATCCTCGGGTGAGGATTAACAACAACAACAAAAATTAAAATAAATAAACAAACAAATAAGTAAACAAACAGGCTTTATTAAAAAAAAAAAAGTTCTGAGGAGCCCGGCAGGTGTGGCTCAGTGGTTGAACATCGACCTATGAACCAGGAGGTCACAGTTCGATTCCTGGCATGGTTGTGGGCTCGATCCCCACTATGGGGTGTGCAAGAGGCAGCCGATTAATGATTCTCTCTCATCATTGATGTTTCTTTTCTCTCTCCCTCTTCCTTCCTCTCTAAAAATATTTTTTAAAAAGGTTCTATGGACATGGAAGGGACAGAGTGATCTATCTTTAAGTTTCCTTTTTCTACCTACCCACCAACCTACCTGTCAGTACTTTTTTGTTGTTGTTAATCTTCACTGGAAGATATTTTTCTGTCAATTTTTAGAGAGTGGAAGGGAGGGGGAGAGATAGAGAAAGAGAAACATCGATGTGAGAGAAACACATCAATTGGTTGCCTCCCGCATGTGCCAAGAACTGCAAGCACGGTACTTGCCCTTGACCGGAATCAAACCCGGGACCTTTAGTGTCCGGCCAACACTCTATCCACTGAGCCAAACCAGCTAGGGCTCTTCTTTTAGCATATGCTCCTCCCTACCACATACCCTATCCCTTTTCTCCATGGCACTGATCTGACAGGTACTGGGTTTGTTTTTTGTTTTAAAATATATTTTATTGATTTTTTACAGAGAGGAAGGGAGAGAGATAGAGAGTTAGAAACATCGATGAGAGAGAAACATCGACCAGCTGCCTCCTGCACATCTCCCACTGGGGATGTGCCCGCAACCCAGGTGCATGCCCCTGACCGGAATCGAACCCGGGACCCCTCAGTCTGCAGGCCAACGCTCTATCCACTGAGCCAAACCGGTTTTGGCCTGGGTTTGTTTTTAACCTCTCCGTCCGTAGGACTGTGCAGCCCTGCACGGAAGCTACCAGCCACGGATGGCTGTTTAAACAGAGCTACGTACAATTGAAAATGGCATT